AATGCTACTAAACAGACCCAGGGTGCCTTCGGCCTAGTAAAACCCATGGAAAACAGCATGTTCAGTAATCTAACAACAGGCTAAGGGGGCTGACCAACTACCAAGGATAAGCTATTGATCACCCTCAGATTTACTTCTCTCCTTATACTGTCTCCAGTGCTATAATCACCTGTACTCAACTGAAGAAGCCTAGTGAGCTGGGTAAACAAGTCACCAATAAAGGTGCTGTATCTACCTGTTAAACAGGTATTTTACTCATCAACTTAACAGAATTGTATACCATTTATAGTAAAAAAAATCCAGCAAAACTTCAAACAAACAATAAATCAGTAAGCCAGCGCAGTGCTCTGTGATCCACATCATCAGCACCTGCCATACGACTCTTCATTACAAAACAAGCAAATTATATTTCTTTGTGCAGTACACAAAATGTAATTTGCATGTAATATTGTTAAACACATAAGAAAACCACTAGAATGCTGTGGATTTTGGACAGTGTTCTAAACTCACTCTTTGTGAAAATATACACATGCAAGAAGTATTATCTGCACGACTTGACAGAGCTCAGCCCTGACCAAAAACACTCCAATAAAAGCTTTTTCTACATATTGTGCTCTGAATCCCTTAGATGTAATAATTCTCCAAAACAAATTCATAGACATAGTTCTCTTAACTACAGTTTCCCCGTCAGTAACAAAGCAAGAGTATTATTATTATAATTTTAGTATTTTTCTAGCTGTCTTTGTAATTCTGGGAACTCTCTGCAGTTAACATTTTCTATATTTTTACATTTTTCTTTTTTGCATAGACACCAACTGCTGCTCTTATTTTAGCTTAAATGAACAGTGAAAAGCTTTTCTAAGCATTTTTCTACCATACAGCTGAAGGCAATTTTACAATTTGCAATTGCAGCATATGAATTTCTTACAACTTTGTTATATAGTATTATCTTCTGGTGGCAATTTTTTGTCAGTGATAACTTCTAGATCCCTCTTTTTATTTACTACTACTATATTCATGGAGAAGTGCCCTGGAGAAGGGACACAATTAGGTATGATCCAATGGAAATATAGCTCCTATTCTCTAAATCAAGAATCCTTCACCAGCATGAAGGTGCTTCCTTAACCTGTTAACTGTCCAAACGTAGATCTACGTTCTCTCGCCCAGCACTCCAAATATTTTGAAAAATAAAAAATTCATTTCTTTTACAGGGTCATTACTTACTGAGATTTGAGCCCGCGAACTTGGCACTTGATGATCACCTGACTGCAACATGGAGCGCTGCCACTTGCAGAAATTCTACATATTTACCGTTTTTTCCATTTTTTTAATTTTCTTGGTTTTTATGATATGATAATTATGTTTTAAAGTAAATCCTTTGATTTCAATGCCAACTGTTATTTATATACCAATATTATAAACAAAGTTACACAAACACACATGTACACACTGATAGGTGATTTTGCACACCTGGCTAAATCACATTCTATTATCTACAACTATTTACAAGTACAGTATTTACATGTCCCACTGTTGTTTCTAGAACTCCACAATTGTATGATACTCCATAAAGCATAGATTCACACAGAGTGCCACCCCACATTGGTGACATATGAATCGTGTGTCCTTCTGCTGTTGGAGTCATTTTGTGGTGGTAGCACACACAACATACTTTTTCTGTGAATACTTCTTCTTTGGGGTAGGTGGTATTGGTATCAGGTAGTGACAATTAGGAATGATTCGGTCTGGTACTTCCCCGACTGGCTGTGGTTGTGGTCAGGGGACATGTCACTGTTGAGGGGCAGATACAGGTGTGGTACCATACTTTTTTGCTATCTGTTTTATGACATTCAGGGAGAATTCTGCTCTGTTTTATGACATTCAGGGAGAATTTTGCAAAACGTTGTCGTTTTCCAGTCTTTATTTCATACATATTGAATGCATTGAGCACTGTAATGTCTACAAGGTGGAAAAATAGTTTTATATACCACTTGTGACTCCTATGCACACAGTCAATGAACCCTATCATCATATCACACTTGTCAACTAGTCGCATATTGTTCATGTAGTCGACCACACCAGCTGGCTTGACAATACGTTGATTGGTGTCCCGGTTCACTTTGTCTGTACCATCTCGCTTTTGTGGATAGTTGACAGTAATGTCATGTCCCATTTGTCATGCCACATCAGTGCCATGATGTTATTGGCATGAAACACTTGCACTGTACTGTCAACACTGCCTCCACTGAACCTTGGCATATGTTTTCTATTCCTTCTCATTGTTCCACATATATCAGTATTGTTCACACGAAGAAAATCAGCAAGCAAAGGGCTTGTATACCAGTTGTCTGTGAACAATGTATGACCCTTGCCAAGATATGGTTCCATCATCTTGCAAACAACATCACCAGAAATGTCCAACATCCATCTGTCATCATTGAATGTGTTTCTCCCAGTGTAGACAGTGACATTCAACACAAGACCAGTCTCACAGTCACACATAACAATAAGTTTTATACCAAAGCGATTACGTTTGCTCAGTATATATTGCTTGAATGAGAGGCGTCCCTTGAACAAAATCAAGGACTCGTTGACAACAATGTTCTTGAAGGGATAAAAGTATGCACTGAATTTCTGCTTCATATACATAAACACTTCAAGGATTTTGTATAGAAAGTCATTTCCTGTCTGAGAAGTGCAACATTCGTAGCAACAGAGTGAATCTGTTGCAAGGAAGGAGGTCATGGAATACAGGAGTACTTATGAAAGTCTGTGGACCAGTAATGTGCTATATTTTGCTTATATTTATGTGGCATAAGCATGACAGTGACGAGGAATAAATACATTTCAGCCACAGTTGTATCTTTCCACCTAATCAGCTGTGATGATTCTGCAACCTCTGTGTTGTCCATGATAAAGCGGTAATAATTGTTCATCTGGGTCACTATCAAGTTCATTAGAGGTTCGTCAAAGTATAACTTGAAAAAGTTTAACTCTGTAGACTCATTTGTTATGGGACATTCTGGAAGGATGCCACTGTCACTTGCATCAAAATCAAAAGGCTGCAGCATGAATATACTTTGTGTCCAGTTCCACTCGTGGTCACATGGTGCAGAGTGGACCTGTGGCATAGGGCCAGGGGGAGCAGGAGGAGGGACAAGAGTGGAGGCAGCACATGGCTGACAGGGTGCCGCACGGTCCTCTGTCTGTCCACCCACTGCGCCACGTGCTTCAGGCAACATGCCCACCACCACTTCCTCTTCCTCCATCCCTGCATATTCTCCATCATTATCACTATCACTAGCAGTGGCCAAGGTTTTGGATCATGACCTCCCACAACCCTTGGGGATTGCATATGGCACACTGCCTGAACATAGGCTACAGCACCTAAAAGTACACTTCACTGGTGAGTAATGAATATCACTATCACTAGATGAATCCTCTACTGGCATAAAATCAATCTCATCGTCACTTTCATCACTTTTACTATCACTGAAACCACGGGGAAATGATAATTTCCTCTTGCGTGATTGCCTATGGGTAGTAATATTGGCCACTCAAGAGGTGCTTGGCCCAGTGTCTTGTGTGGCCACACAAGCTATCCAAGAAGTGCTTGGCCCAGGGTCTGGCATGGCCACACTGGCCATCCCAGAAGTGCTTGGCCCAGGGTCTTGTGTGGCCACACTGGCCATCCCAGAAGTGCTTGGCCCAGGGTCTGGTGTGGCCACACTGGCCACCCCAGAAGTGCTTGGCTGGGGGTCTGGCATGGCCACACTGTCCACCCCAGAGGTGATGGGCTGAGGGTCATCTGGGTTATCGTCGACATTTTCAATAATTCCTTGATCATTAGTGGCCATAACGTTGTCAAATCCACTAAACTCATGTTCTATACTACTTTCCTCAAATATGAGTGTTAATACGATGAGGCGTTAGAGAATCATGAGGGTGTGCCATGATGTTGACCCAAGATGGAGCTGAATGTAACTGATGCTACCATGAGGTACCCAGGCATTCCTGATTTTTTTCATACAGCGAGCACTGAGTGTGCAGACCCATTCTCTCGTGTCTAAGCCACTCAGGCCTATCGCGCCAAATTTTCAGCCAGGAGAAATAAAACGTATATCTATGTTCAGAGCGCTAGCAGTAAGAATGTAAACCTACGTTTGGACAGTTTACGGTTTAAAGGGTCCTCTCTAACTCTATTAATATTTTATCACACAATCTGTATTCTCCATGTGATTATAAAATGTTATATTAACCCATTTTCATTACATAGCAACTATCTAAATGAAATTTCACTATCCATCTTTCACTCCATTTATTCAGTTTATCAAAGTTTTCTTGTAGAGATGTACAGTCATTCTGCACAAAATTTTTGCAGCATTCACAAACACATGCTAGTTTACAGAAGTGAATTTTTTTTTATTTTTCTGGCAAATCATTTTATAAAGTGAAAACATAAACAGGACAAGCATGCTACTGGCGACATTTTACTGCGAGGGTATTTTACTTCTTACCAGTGCTCACATTTTCTTTCATACAAAATTTCTCTCATCCACTGTACTTGTCTGTGGAATATTTTTACAACAATGACGAAGATTACATGCAGACTCTAATGAAATTATTTTGTCACTCACTAAGTTCGCTCTTTCCTTTGTTGAAGACGTTAATATGTGTGAAAATAATTAAGGTCTGAAGGATTTTTTTATATCCTCAAATAGATGAAAGGAAAACTCATTATTTAATAGGAAAGGAAAATTTTAAAGATCTGAAGAACGTGTAACAGAAGATTCAAGGAGGTTGAAAGTCAAACTGGTAGCCAAGAAGCTCTAAAGCCAAACAAAGAAATGCACGAGGCATTCAAAGTAAATATCACTGCCAAAATATTAATAAGTACATAATTATAAAGCATACTGTTTATACTATATGAGCATTCAATGTAAATTTGATAATCGTCACTAATGGCACAGGCGTTAACAGAGCCATGCTGCTGGACATACCCCCGGGCGTGGTAGGGACATGTACACCTGCTTCTCTGGTGGTTTGTTCTCCGCTGTGATCTGGTCGCCTATGTCCTTGGTCAGGCTCTTGACGTCGCCCACCAAATTTAGCCACATGTCGGCAAATACTGAATCAAGGCAAGAGCAGAGAGAAACAAGGTATAATAATTTTAAAAAACAAACATGTAAGCAGGTAAATGAGAAAACTTAACAAGTTTAGGGTATCCACTTCAAGCATGATGCAGGAGCAATGCAAATGGTAAAGAGGATAAAGCCTCTTGGCTTAACATGAGCAATAGGAAATAATTATTAATATCTGCCATGTCTTAAGAGGACAGTTTGGCTGAGTCAGGAAAATGAGTTCTCAATCAAATGGATAACTCATTACTGACCAATATGATGATGCTATCTTCTGAGTGAACAAATGATAGACTGAACCATAAACTGGACCTTTGGAAGTACTATATATAGATAGGTGATGGATTATGGTCATGCTTGAAGATTTACCTACCTACAATACCCTGTCTTACCTTCAACATTTTCTTTGGCAATCTTGGAAGTAGGATATAAGCAGAGGGTCTGCGCTGCAGTTACAACCTGAGGGCCATATATCCTTAGGTTGATCTCTCCATACTTGGCTGCCACCTGAAGAGAATCTGTTGTGGCTATGTGTCGTAACAATTTACACACCTGTAACAAACATTACACTTACTGTAAGTTCAAAACAAATGATAATACCTACAAACTAGTTTTATTTCTACAGTAAGAGAGAGTGAAATCTTATTCAGTTTGCTTTATTGGTTTATATCCTAACCATAATGCCTAAGCATAATAGAGGCTCTCTTTGCATTGCAACCCATTATTGTAAATACAAAATTTCAATGTACTATTTGCAAAGACATAAATAAATAAATAAATAAATAAAAATAAATAGGTCACCCCTATTTCACAAGCTGCTGTTTGTAGAGAAAACCACTAGCTCAGAACCCGACATAAATTGGCCAATCAGAGTACAGTACAGTGGACCCCCGCATAACGATCACCTCCGAATGCGACCAATTATGTAAGTGTATTTATGTAAGTGCGTTTGTACGTGTATGTTTGGGGGTCTGGAATGGACTAATCTACTTCACAATATTCCTTATGGGAACAAATTCGGTCAGTACTGGCACCTGAACATACTTCTGGAGTGAAAAAATATCGTTAACCGGGGGTCCACTGTATTTACTATGGTGTCTCCCCATTACTAGTCACTATAAGCATACATTGTGCAATGTGCTCTTCCCATACAGACACTATTATAATATAGGAATGACACTTAATGACTGCACATTTTGTGTAATTTTGTTTAGCAATTAGGTATACATTAGGAAACAATTTCACTTAGTAATTACCCACACTCCACATGACCTCTTGTAGCTGCTCTATTTACAAAAAATTTATATAAACTTTCCCCAATTCATAACCAATTTCTGTTTGGGAAGCAGTACAAGACTTTTATCCCAGTGCTATTTATTTCAGGTTAATTACATGATGCAATACACTGAGTTGTATCATGCCATGAATACTTATTTTTATCATAGTGTGTACAAAGTGTGTTAAGACATTATGTAGTATATGTTATTAGTATGAAAATTCTCAAGCCACTCTTGTAATTATATTTATTTGGTAGTAATCTAAGGTTTATCAAAATGTAAACAGTGAACAGGGTGTTGCTTCACTGAAGAACAACAAATAACAATAATCATCTATCACACACAGCATTCAGAGCAATCAACCTCCATCATGTACAACATTCTGAACAATCAACCTCATGGAAAAAATAAAAAATAGGCCACATAAAGAATACAGAATGTGATAAAATATTGAAGCCATCAAAAAAAGAGATAGATAGGCCTAGAAGTCACCATAGACAGTGTGTGTTGTCAAAAGATCAAAACTCTATACACATAAAGGGCCCCAAAATATGGAATTCATTACCAGAAGATACTAAAGTAACCCAGTCTAAAAATCAATTTAAGACTCTTCTCAGAAGCCACTTAATCACCCTAGACTAAATGCTAAATACTCAGTACTCACATACTCAATATGTATTCCCATATCATAATTTCAATAATTACTTTTGAACCTTTTATCCATTGTCAACAGGGATATAATTGAATCATTGTTTTCACAAAAAGCATTTCTGAATATATGAATATATCTTCTGTCTTATATAAATTAGATTCACTTAAAATTAATAACCTACTGTACAATTATGATATAATTGATATTCTACTGTACAACTATGATATAATTCTTAGTGTTAAGTAGTCAGTAAGCTAATAATGTTAAGTCGCCCCATAATGCCTAGGTATAATAGAGGCTCTCTTTGCATTGTAACCCATTATTGTAAATACATAATCTCAATGTACTAGTTGCAAAGACATAAATAAATAAATAAAATAAATAAATGAGAAACTCCAGTGAGACACTGGCCAACATTAAAAATAGCCTTCAGATACATGGATGGAAAAGTGCTAAAAAATAAAAAAGAATGTCCTACACATAATATGTTCAACCAAAATTGGAATATACAGCAGTGATATGGTGTTCACAACTAAAAATTGCACATAGAAAAGCTCTAAAACTTCAAAAATCGAACTACAACCATGGCTCATGAACAAAGCATCAGATGTGCCCTCAATAGCTAGCAAAAGGCAAACAGGAGAAATGACAGCCGCATATAAAATTATAAAAAATATAAAACAATTGATGATACAATCAACAAGGACAACATGAGACCATAATTATAGGTACTGAAAAATTACTAAACAGTTCTTTACAGAGTGATAGAACAATGTAATGGGTGATAAGTGTTTTAACAAGAAATTTAAAAAAATACAATAAATAAGGCCTTAGGATGGAACACAAGAAGCATAACTCTGCTACAGGAGCAAAAAGTATTTACATGTAGGCAATTATGTACAAACATTACAAACAATCTCCATGGGGAAGTGGAGAAGAATCCTTCCTCCGTAAGATGCATGTCATAAGAGGCAACTAAAATGCCAGGAGGAAGGGGCTAGTAACCCCTGTATAAATTACTAAATCTAAAAAGAAGAAAAACATTACATTTCTTCTCTTTCGGGTCACCCTGCCTTAGTTTGAGACAACTGTTGTTTAAAAAATATATAAACAACATTAAAAACAATAATAATTTGTCACAATTTTCATAGCAGTCATTTGTATCCTCACCCACCACAATAATGTTAAGTCTCATACACACACAAACACCCATCACCTTACCTCTTGAATGTGCTCGATGTGTTCAAGGAAGCGGTCAGCGTACTCATCCAGCCTCTCCTGGTCAGTGGCCAATCCTGCATTTTTGAGGGCACTGATGAGCTCGCTCTCCTCACATGTCCCACGTACCAGCTCTTCTGCCTGAGATACATATGGCACAAGGGGGGCATACCTCTTACCTTCATTGTGCATATATAATGAAAATATCTTTTTAAAATACTCAGCATTCATGAGAAACACCTTAAGTGAAAAGTGAGCAGGCAGCTTTGACCTCCATGAGAGCTTCTGTCATATGATAGATTCATCACAAAAGCACTCAGGCTTTCATTTTTGTTAAAGTAAATTTGCAAATTAGTGTCGTTTGACCAAAACTGGTCAAAACACTTTGATGATTTAATAAAAAATTCAAATGAACTTCATTGGCTTGAGACAGTGGGAGACTGGCCCGAGTAAATTCGTTTTTCATCATTCTGTCATGCAGGAAGATGGGAAAGTACATCTATGGCACATCCAACAAAATCAGTTGATTCATGAACGCCACTACTGCCAAGCCTGGACTGGACTACAGGTACGTCCGGAAGTTTGCACCGACAAATGATGTAACTAACTAAAAGTAAACGCTACCAGATCAACTACTGTCATACCCTATGTCATTATTTGTTGAATGCAAAAAAAAAAAAAAAAAAAAAAGTCATGAATTCAGAGACAACTCAAATCAAATGTTCTAGATATGTCAAAAAGTATTTTACCAACAGTAGCATATTATCAGAAAGTCTATAAAAAATCCTAACTTTGCCTATAACTCATAACCACTGCAACTTGCCTAAATACAACTATCCAGTATAATTTGCTAAATACAGTGGACCCTCGACTAACGCTATTAATCCGTTCCTGAGAGCTCATCGTTAGTCAAAATAATCGTTAGTCAAGTTAATTTTCCCCATAAGAAATAATGGAAATCAAATTAATCCGTGCAAGACACCCAAAAGTATTGAAAAAAAAAAATTTAACACATGAAATATTAATTTTAATACACACAAACTGAAGAAGACATGCACAGTTACATGACACTTACCTTTATTGAAGATCTGGTGATGATTGATGGGATGGGAAGAGGGGAGTGTGTTGATGGTCTTAGTGTTTAGAAGGGGAATCCCCTTCCATTAGGACTTGAGGTGGCAAGTCCTTTTTTGGGGTTACTTCCCTTCTTTTAATGCCACTAGGACCAGCTTGAGAGTCACTGGACCTCTGTCGCACAACATATCTGCCCATAGAGGCCTGTACCTCCCGTTCCTTTATGACATTCCTAAAGTGCTTCACAACATTGTCAGTGTCACCATTAAACACTTGTTCAGGTTTCAGTCCTTCACTGTCTATGTACTCCTTGAATTCCTGCACATATTTTTCAGCTGCTTTTTGGTCCAAACTGGCAGCCTCACCATGCCTTATCACACTATGTATGCCACTACGATTCTTAAATCTCTCAAACCAACCTTTGCTGGCCTTAAATTCACTCACATCACCACTAGTTGCTGGCATTTTTCTAATTAAATCGTCATGCAACTTCCTAGCCTTTTCACATATGATCGCTTGAGAGATGCCATCTCCTGCTATCTGTTTTTCGTTTATCCATACCAATAACAGTCTCTCAACATCTTCTATCACTTGCAATCTCAGTTTCGAAAACATAGTTGCACCTTTGGCAAGAACAGCTTCCTTGATTGCTGTTTTCTTGGCCACAATAGTAGCGATGGTTGATTGGGGTTTTGTGTACAGCCTGGCCAGCTCGGAGACATGCACTCCACTTTCATACTTAGCAATGATCTCTTTCTTCATATCCATAGTAATTCTCACCCTTTTTGCTGTAGGGTTGGCACTAGAAGCTTTCTTGGGGCCCATGGTGACTTATTTTGCAGGTGCAATCACTAAAAAGACTGTGATAATATGAAATGTTCCGATTGTATGCTTGGAAGCGACCGTGGTGGCTGGCTGGCTTGTAAACACTGACCAGAAGTGGACGCGTTTCAGACGGAACGAATAGTGTTGGTCAAAATTTTTAGCGCTAATCGAGGCAAAATTTTTGCGATAAAATGTATCGCTAGTCAGATTTATCGTTAATCGATGCCATCGCTGGTCGAGGGTCCACTGTACTGAGTATTGCAAATGCCGTACTTGTAACTCAAAATCCGGTCAGCTACATAATAATATTTTAGGACCAAATTCATGGCTCTGTCAACAACTCAGAGCTTTATATTCATGGTACTGCATATAGAACCGGCAAGTAAATGAAGAGGACAAGTACAACACTTGGGTATCTTTACTGTGGAGATGTTTTACCAACCAGTGGCTTTATTAATCCACTACAAAGAACAATACTTCAGATGGTGAAGAAAAAGTAGTGATTTGAGGTAATCAGTCTCTCAGCTTTGAAAGGAGGCATTCAGTCCATCAATCTTGATGACTCTGAAGTATTTGCCTGAGGACGGAGACTTAGATACTGGGGACAGAAGTGAAGTAGTTCAGAGATGGTACCGCAGCAAGGAGGAACTCATTAGTAGAAGGTCATTCTAATAGGTTAGGAAAACATTAGACTTCTAGAAGGATTTTCAGTACTATAATTCCAAAATGTACCATTAATACATAATACTTGTTTGACACAGAAACATCTTGAAATCTTGGTAAATACATAGAATTCTTCTTCAACCCTAATGCTTGCCTAACCTATTGGCATGACCTTCTTTCACTAGTGAAAGCCACCAACCTGTGAGGCTGTCTCTACACTGTATCATCTCTCCTGTCTCCAGTAGATAAATCTCCATCTATATGCAACTACTCTACATTCATCAAGAGTGATGGACAGAACACCTTTCAAAGATGTGAGACTGATCTCCTCAAACTACCACATCAAGTCTTCCAAGAAAGTTATAAAAAATAATAATCTAAAAAATTACAAAATAGGAAAAAGCAATTTGGGGTTGTAGGAGTGGAGTACAACACCGACCTGCACTAGTGCGGTGGTTTGGAGCTGATGTTTCATCTCCCTGGTAGCAGCGAGCACTGTGTTGATAGCAGTCTCTAGCTCGTCCCCAGGCGACGGCGGCTCCTTCTGCTCCTGACACCACGCATCAACATTTAACACATAAAATAAAACAATACATGACACAATAAAACAATAAGTAAATATTAATGAAATTATTTCAAATACACCTACCATCCGACTTATGACCGAGTTCGGTTCTGAGAAACCGGTCATAAGTCGAAATGGTCGTAAGTCGAACTTTACTACTGAATATCAACAAAACATTTTTGTAATGACTTTATTTTATTGTTTTATTTTGGTATTTCACGTTTCACTTTACTTTTTATGCTGTTAGTACTGTATTTTATACTGTAAGGTTTAGGATAAACACTTTGTACAACACAAATAGCTGCTTATTTCCCAGAAATTTGGCATAAAAAACACGGTCGTAAGTCGAGTGGTCGTAAGTCGAGCAGGTCGTAAGTCGGATGGTAGGTGTATTACGGATGGGTTTAAAAGCAAAGTAATATTTTTACCCACAGTTAAGTTCTGTAATTGCTTGGGAAAATTTAATCTGAACACCTGAATATTTTGCCACACAATTGTTCAATGGTTTATTTTGGAAAAGATTCTGAAAGGTTTGTGAGAACAGTGAATTTTGGCTGAGAAACAAAAATAAAAAAATCAAGTCTCCCAGTATTAAATTTAGCAAAAATTTTATTTCCAGAAATTATAGGTCAGCCTAAAAAAACAAGATAAGACCAAGCCAAAAGCATCTGCTTATGATATTTACATTTACCTTAACACCATGAGAGCAAGTGACACTCACCAGATTAACTCCAACCCGTAAGAGCTGGTTAACTTGGAGTCGTATCCTGTCTGTTAGAAGGAGGATGTTCTCCCTGTGTTCGTGTGTGGTGTAGGCAGAGTCAGTGAAGTCCTGCATACGCTCACAGATTGTGTCCACCGCCTGAACGCCACACCCACAATGGAGAACGCAAGCAAAATAGTAGTTGGAGCTAGAGAGAATGGAGTTTGCATTCAAGATGGAACTGTGAACTAAAAAAATATAAATGTTAAGGAACGAAATCTGAATGCGGAGGACAGGGAGGTTCGTAGGTCAATGTAACAAGTGACACATGAAGGATAACATTCCCCTGAGGGTCGCAACAGCAAAATACAAGACATTCTCGTTCCCAAACGGTGAGAATTTGTAGGACACAAGGGATAATTTGCAAACAATTATCCCAGTAGAGAAGTAAACTAAATTTTGCCATTTGGGTAACCCATGAAGATGCACTCATCGCTAGGTCAGCCAGGATGAGTAAGTTTTTAAACAAGATTGGTGCAGTTGCCTGTTGGGGGGCCTGAAAATACAAAAATTTACCGGAGTTACTGTTAAATTTGGTGGAGATTTTCTACTCGATACACAGTTGCTAGGTAACCTTATAGTGAAGTTAGGTGAGGTAGTGAAGTGAGGGGAGGTAGTGAAGTGAGGTAGTGAAGTGAGGTGAGGTAGTGAAGTGAGGGGAGGTAGTGAAGTAAGGTGAGGTAGTGAAGTGAGGTAGTGAAGTGAGGTGAGGTAGTGAAGTGAGGTGAGGTAGTGAAGTGAGGGGAGGTAGTGAAGTGAGGGGAGGTAGTGAAGTAAGGTGAGGTAGTGAAGTGAGGGGAGGTAGTGAAGTAAGGTGAGGTAGTGAAGTGAGGTGAGGTAGTGAAGTGAGGTGAGGTGAGGTAGTGAAGTGAGGGGAGGTAGTGAAGTGAGGGGAGGTAGTGAAGTAAGGTGAGGTAGTGAAGTAAGGTGAGGTAGTGAAGTGAGGTAGTGAAGTGAGGTGAGGTAGTGAAGTGAGGTGAGGTAGTGAAGTGAGGGGATGGAGTGAAGTAAGGTGAGGTAGTGAAGTGAGGTGAGGTAGTGAAGTGAGGTGAGGTAGTGAAGTGAGGTGAGGTAGTGAAGTGAGGTGAGGTAGTGAAGTGAGGGGAGGTAGTGAAGTAAGGTGAGGTAGTGAAGTGAGGTGAGGTAGTGAAGCGAGGGAGGTAGTGAAGTGAGGTGGTGAGGTGAGGTAGTGAGGTGAGGTGGGGTAAAGAGGTGAAGTAGTGAAGTGAGGTTGAAGTAGTGAAGTGAGGTTGAAGTAGTGAAGTGAGGGTGAATTAGTGAAGTGATGTGAGGTAGTGAGATGAGGTGAGGTAGTGAAGCGAGGTGAAGTAGTGAAGTGAGGTAGTGAGGTGAGGTAAGGTACCTGACAGAGACGATCCCTGACAGCTGGTCCACACAGTGTCATCCTGGTCATCTCCACAGAGTCTTCAAGGTGACGGATGGCACCATACATGGTGTGATTGTTATCCCAGTCCTCCTGCAACACAGTGCACCTCTTAAACATCTGTTGCAACACAGCATACCTCTTAAACCTCTGTTGCAGCACAGCATACCTCTTAAACATCTGTTGCAACACAGCATACCTCTTAAACATCTGTTGCAACACAGCATACCTCTTAAACATCTGTTGCAACACAGCATACCTCTTAAACATCTGTTGCAACACAGCATACCTCTTAAGCATCTATTGCAGCACAACATACCTCTTAAATATCTGTTGCAACACAGCATACCTCTTAAACATCTGTTGCAACACAGCATACCTCTTAAACATCTGTTGCAACACAGCATACCTCTTAAACATCTGCTGTAACACAGCATGCCTGTTTTATACACCTGCTGAAATATAGCTGTTGCAATTCGAAACATCTGTTATATATACCTGCTGAAATACAGCACACCTGTTGCATGCACCTGCTGCAATACATTTGTTGCAATGCAGTACACCTGTTATATATACCTGCTGAAATACAGCACACTTGTTATACACCTGCTACAGTGAAGTACACCTGTTATACACCAGTTAAACACGTAACACTCTGTTATAGCATCTGCAACAACATACTTTAATACCTGTTATACAGTCACTTGTAAGATCGCAACAGACATCTGTATTTACCTGCTGTAACAGAACACCTGTTATAAGCCTGCTACAACATAGTACACCTGTTATACACCTGCTACACACAGTACATCTGTTATACACCTGCTACACACAGTATAACTGTTATACACCTGTTACACACAGTACATCTGTTATACACCTGCTACACAGTATAACTGTTATACACCTGCTACACACAGTACATGTTATACACCTGCTACACACAGTATAACTGTTATACACCTGCTACACACAGTACATCTGTTATACACCTGCTACACACAGTAAAACATGTTATTACACCTGCTACACAGTACATCTGTTATACACCTGCTACACACAGTATAACTGTTATACACCTGCTACACACAGTACATCTGTTATACACCTGCTACACACAGTATAACTGTTATACACCTGCTACACACAGTACATCTGTTATACACCGTACACCGTAACTGTTATACACCTGCTACAAAACACTTTATCACCTGCTTACAAAACTACCTGCTACAATAGAGTACACCTGTTATACACCTGCTACAACGCTACACTTGTTATACACCTGCTACAACACAGAACACCTGTTATACACTTGCTACATCACTTACACTTGTCATACACCTGCTACAACACAGTACACCTGGAGTTTACCTGGAGAGAGTTCCGGGGGTCAACGCCCCCGCGGCCCGGTCTGTGACCAGGCCTCCTGGTGGATCAGAGCCTGATCAACCAGGCTGTTACTGCTGGCTGCACGCAAACCAACGTACGCGCCACAGCCCGGCTGGTCAGGAACCGACTTTAGGTGCTTGTCCAGTGCCAGCTTGAAGGCTGCCAGAGGTCTGTTGGTAATCCCCCTTATGTATGCTGGGAGGCAGTTGAACAGTCTCGGGCCCCTGACACTTATTGTATGGTCTCTTAACGTGCTAGTGACACCCCTGCTCTTCATTGGGGGATGTTGCATCGTCTGCCAAGTCTTTTGCTTTCGTAAGTGAGTGATTTTCGTGTGCAAGTTCGGTACGAGTCCCTCTAGGATTTTCCAGGTGTATATAATCATGTAACTCTCCCGCCTAGCGTTCGCAGGGTAATACAGGTTCAGGACCTCACGTCTCCAGTAATTGCGTACTCCGTTCATGGGGTGAAGTTCTCGTACATTTTCTTCTAGGTTGATTTTTCACTCCGTTATAGTGCCCTGCTACATAAGTAACATGTATCACTCTACAACGTACACTGTTCCAGTACATTCAACCTTACAACCGACTACAGAACACCTGTTATACACCTTGGCTACTCTACTACACTTTTCTACATACAATTCACCTGTTAACACCTGTCACTACACCTGCTACCTACACCTGCTACAACAAACTAAGCTTATTTTGATAAAGGTACACATATGTACACATACGTGCCTATCACCTGAATGTGTACATATGTGTACCTGTACTTGAATAAACTTATTTACTTGCCTATTACTGTAACATTCATGTACTGTCATCTGATCCTCTCTTTAATGTTACTGTAAATAATTCAGTTTACCCCATTCCTAGTATATATTCTTTTATTGTGACCGATTTTCACATAGTTGAGTTACATAGCTGTTTTAACTTTAAAGGTTTAAATAATAGGAGTGACGAGGACCCCAGTGGCAATAAGTCACGTCTGATTTTTTTTTTTTTTTTGAGGAGGGGGGTTATCATAGGTAACTTACCCATATGTTACAATGTATGATAACTGTACTTATGTGTACCTGTGCCTAAATAAACGTACTTTAGTTACTAATCCCCAAAAAAGTCTGATCAAGTGACATGCTGCACCTTAACAGACTTGTTATTCATCTTCTGCAACATAGTACAGTGTACAGTAAGTATCTTGAAGAATACATACCATCTTTCATGATGAATATGCAACATGTATGAGGGAATAAACGGCGGCATAAACAATTTTGCTTAAGATACTACTATAGACCTGTTTTGTGCTTTGTTTGGGTTTATAAGGGCCACTGACAGCTACTATAAGACTAGCTCTTAATATGTTGATATTTTTGTTACTCTTACTCTTACTTCTTAATGTTGTTTTTAGGGCCACTGACGGCTAACGCCGTATCGAACCCGGTCCAAACCACGTCCAAAATGAAAGCAGCATGCTTTGTTGGTATAGTTGTTAGGGGCCACCTCGGTGCAAGCCGAGGTGGCCCCTAACAACCCCAGTCTCCAGGGGATGGGGAGAGAAGTCTCTACATCGGGAGGATAGTATGGGGCGTGGCAGCCCCTATAGAAGCTGGAACAGAAGTCCAGAGGATCCTGGTCAGAGCTGTTGCAGGCAAGGAGTCATCAAGTAATGGAGCATTGATGAAAGCATAGGTATCATAGCCAACCCCATTCAGTATAAGAGTTAATAATAATTATCTTTATTTCTACAAGTACATGATACAGCTTATACTGACCTAGCTGACATCAGTGATATACTATGTATAAAGCCCCCGGATTTGCAGAGCATTTCGGGCACCTTAGGTTAATCTTGTCCCCCCAGAATGCGACCAACACCAGTCTGCTAATACCCAGGTACCTACTTGCTACTAAGTGAACAGGGGCAGCAGGTGTAAGGAAACACTCCCAATGTTACCACCCGTACCGGGGATCGAACCACGGATACTCAATGTGTGAGATGAGTGCGCTACCAACCGAGCTACGGAACACCCTAACGACAAGCGACTTCGCCTAATCGACAAAGGGACTCTCAAAGAAGTGTGCAAACAGACTGGAACCAGGGACCAGGGGCTACAAAAAAAGTTTCACCATATCCGGCTGGTTGAGACACCACTTATAGCCGGGTATGTCCAATCTGCAGACACAACCTGGTAACATCTAGGGGACGATTTTCGACAGGAGACCAAGGACAGGGTTCATTAGAATCATGAATGACACTGACAATGACAAATTTTATTTCTGTAAAGTATACAGTTGATACAGGATTAACTGACATGACCGACATATTTTATGAAAAAAAAACCTGATTATGGAGAAGTGTGACCTGGATCAACCCAGCATGAGAAAACTGAATTACTGCAGTGCTCTATTATTCTTATGGTCTTATTTTCTCCTATGATGAATGCCAAGTTGTAGAGGTGACATCAACCAGCTAGAATAACAACCATCTAGAATGACATCAACCCTGCAAAAATGACGTCAGCTGGCTGAAATGACATCAACCAGCGGGAACGACACAAACTTGCAGCCGCGATACCAACTTCCAGGAACAATTCCAGTCCCTAGAAACAGCAACTCTTTAGGAACACTGCCAACTTCAAGGGAAGGGGGGGGGGGGAGAGGGAAACTATGCCAGTTCGTCTGTAAAACTCACTTGTCTCGTTCTGAGGGTGCCTGGAGACTCGGCCGGACTCTGGCCGTTGACTCTGGCCTCACCCTGTGCATTGACGGAGTCCAACACGCCGTCCTTAACAACGTAGTGGATGAGGTCCATGGCACGCCGCATCTGGCAGAACACGGTGTCCCTGTTCTCCCGCGACGTAAGACACTCTGGGTGGCGTAGGCACACCTGGTGGACAGGGAAGTAGGTAGCTGTTAGGGACGGATCACCACTGAGGAGGCAGTAGGGATCCTGCAGTGTCATAAATAGCAAAACAAAATATCACAGAGGAAAAACTAGCATGATAGGACGCTGATCACATAGTCATTACTGGTGACAATTTAACAAAAAAGGAACCCTTTTCAATCCCTGAAATAGGGATCAGAGTAAACACTCAGGCTAAATACAAAGAGGCATATACATCTATAATATATATATATATATATATATATATATATATATATTATATATATTTATATATTTATATTATATATCCTGTGGCATCAAATGGAAATAAGCAACAATGTTTGACTCTGGTAAGTAAAAAAAATGCAAAAAAATGAACTTGGGTAATGTATCGAAATGAAAACCCATTACCTTAGCCCGTTACAAAAAAAAAGTACATTGTTTTGTATTCTACAGCTATAATTGCTGTTCACTTTTATATTATAGTTACTTATAGCTGAGAAAGTGTCGCTCACAGCAGAACAGAAAACAAACTTGATGGAAATTTACGTCTGAATGCAGCTGATTAATTATTATTGAAGGAAGTTAAAAAATTAAGTTCGTCTTTGAACATCTCTTGAAGAACAAAAAAATTACACTGTGAAAGAGAAAATTCAACAATGTAGAAATTTTAGTGGTGAAAATTCATATTCATGGCAGAAAAATAATAATATTAGTGGGAGGAAGGAAGTAGACCAATTTACATTGCATCTGATGTTGACTAGAGAGGAAGAAATTTGAAATATATGGTTTTTGAGCGTAATCGAAAAAAAATGTGATTATGTGGCATGATGCGAAAAATAAATTTTAACGAGATGTGATTTATGTGAATGAGAGAAAAAAATATAAACGTGATGTATATTACAACACAGAAGAGAATGCTTTAGAATGCAAGTGATTGGTTTGTTAATAGATGAGAGAGAGAGAGAGAGAGAGAGAGAGAGAGAGAGAGAGAGAGAGAGAGAGAAGAGAGAAGAGAGAGAGAGAGAGAGAGAGAGAGAGAGAGAGAGAGAGGTTTTAATAGCGACTTAAGCAAATTGACAGTCAATTTAAAACACAGAAATGAGTTTATTGCAAAAGTAATGGAGGACGAGAGATTTTATTTAAAGTGTGGCAGACTAGTTATAAATAAAATGTCATCGCACGGGTAACATCACTGAGGCGGAAGTATAGGTTGTACGAGTGCATGAGGGGTGGGTGTGAGTTAGACGTGCCTAGCAGGGGCCAATAGACCTACTATAGTTTTCCTACATTCTTGTAATTTATAATAATAATAATAATAATAATAATAATAATAATAATAATGATTGATTATTATTATTTTTTTTTGCAAGTACATGAAACAACTATTACAGACCTAACTAACACCACTGACTTATATAGAAAGCTCCTATTTATGTATAGTATTTGTGGCAAATTTGGTTAATCTTGTTCCCTACGATGCGACCCACAACAGTCGTCTAATACCCAGGTGTGAGGGTTTGTGAGCATGTGAAGATGGGGCCCAGGAGCACAGACTCGACCCAAGCAACCACAAACACGTGAGTACACACCATGTTGTTTTCTAGGTGTTTGTGGTGCTTGTGAGAGCTGGTCCAATACTGGTGCCTCTTCCAATAACTTCGTCTGAGCCCCTGACTTAAGTGAGTGCGATTGGGAGAGAGAGAGGGGGGGAGATGAAGTAGGGGGAGCGGGGAGGTGCTGGATATAGGGAGAAATGGAAGGGGAATAAAGAATAAAGAGAGACAGGAGATGTAAAATCAGACAAGAATTGTGCGAGAAAACGGGAAGAGTAGTGTAATAAGACAAGGAAGACACACAAGGAAAGAAAGGAAGAATATAAGTGTATTGGGCAGCACAACTCATTTGGGTGAACATAAGAAAGGAGGATCACTACCACGAAGACAAGCTGTAAATCGACCCCTGCAACCACAATTAGGTGAATAACAGTACTGGACAGCACCACTCATATCAGTGAACACACTACCATACAGTACAGTGCAGTGCCAATAGATGTCACTGGCGTTATTAACTCATTCCATGGGCGTTGCAACTTTCAAGAATCCCATTCAATGAGGAGAAGCCTTGGTGCTCGTACAGGACTTTCGATCCAAGAAATCTGAGCTACCCTCACCTTGATAAATGAGACACTTGTGCAGCATTTAGGTATATTTATTCCGGAGAAGTTTCGCCAGCTTGAGGTTTCATCAGTTCAATATAGAGAAAAACTGTGGAAGATGAGAAGGAGTTTGAGGTAATCAGTCCCTCATCCTGGAGTCGATGTGTTCAGTTCAAGTTTGATAAACTGAACATATCGAATACAGGCTGAGGGACTGATTACCTCAAACTCCTTCTTATCTTCCACCGTTCTTCTCTGTACTGGACAGAAGAAGCCACTGGCTGGCGAAACGTTTCCTTGATAAAGACACTCAAATATTGCACAAGTGTCCCTCACTTTCCTCGTATGATCAACTTCCACTTACCAGTCACTGCATGACTTCTGCGGATTTAGAACTTCTCCATGAATATGACAATAACATTCAAGCATCCCTACCTATACCAGTGAATTGTATCTAATCGCAGGAACTGTAACATCTGTGTAGGTGACCGCATACCTTGGAGGCTGTGAGGAGCATCATGGTAGATCTGTCGAGCACCTGCCGCGCGGCCGCCATCTGCGCCCGTCTGCGTTCGTCCTTCATATCAGCTGCGCGGTCTCCAGTTAGGTGCGCCAGCTCCACCATTTCCGCCCCGAAGTGGCTGAACGCTTTCACGAACTCTGTGAAGTTGGTCACGCTCTCCAACCTCGACAAGCTGTGAGTTACCTTCAGGGAGAGACAGATAGGTCAGTCTCGCCTTGGAATGGATGGAGACGAGGGTATGGATGGGGACGAGGGAATGGGTAGGGACGAGAGGATGGATGGAGACGAGGGTATGGATGGGGACGAGGGAATGGGTAGGAACGAGAGGATGGATGGAGACGAGGGTATGGATGGGGACGAGGGAATGGGTAGGGACGAGAGGATGGATGGAGACGAGGTATGATGGTTTGATGAGAAGATCGGGAGGTGTATATTGGTCTGACGGAAAGAATGTGAAGAGATATGGGTCTGGTATGGAAAAAAGGGGGAACGTATATTGGACTGGTGAGCTAAGGGACAGACTGTGATGTTACTGATGGTATACAACACCGACCAAATAAATAAAACACGTGCAACACTTGGGTATCTTTAGTTCCGAAACGTTTCGCCTGCACAACAGGCTTCTTCAATCCGGTATATGAGAACATAACACTGGTAATTATAGAAGAAGCAGGTACTAAAGATACCTAAGTGCATCACAAGTGTCTTAGACTTCAAGGGTATGGTATACGGGTAAGAAGGGAGGATAGTTTGCGAGAATCTGTGAAAAAGGGGTATATTAGTAAGAAGGGGAGGATCTGTGCTGGTCTGGGAGAAATGACCATGTACTGATTTGGAAATATTAAGAGTATAAATACTATTAATGCTGGTAATGTAATTTGCTTTTGAGTCAAAATATCAGCTAGGATATTTATTAGGTTTAAAAAAAATACATTGCGCTTGATACAAAATACAGAATAAATGCATTACAAGCACACAGAGGTGTTTGTCTACAATAATAATTCAAATACTTCATCCAGCTCCTCCGAGTTGGACCGGAAAACTGCCTGCTCTGGGTTCCTTGGTTTTCCTGGTGAATTTTTTGCCTGACTCCTTTAACAATAACAGTAATAATAATAATAATAATAATAATAATAATAATAATAATAATAATAATAATAATAATAATAATAATAATATCTTTATTTCTACAAGTACATGTACAAGGTATACAGACCTAGCCGACATACTAATATATAGAAAGCCGCTTGTTATACAGTACATTTCAGTCAACTAGCACCCAGGTACCTGTTTTACTGATGGGTGAACATGGACAACCGCTGTAAGGAAACACGCCCAATGTTTCTACCCTTGCCGGGAATCTAACCTGGACCCCTCAGCGTGTGAAGCGAGAGATTTGCCACCATGGAAGGAAAGGTGTGTTAAAATTCACGTCCTTAGCATAAGCATCCTCTTAAAATTAAACTCGGAGAAAATTTGATTTTAAATGATGATAATATATGTTTCTACACAAAACAATATAACACCACTTCCGTAATTTACATACACATGTACTTGGAATATATTCATCGGGTCCTCCTTGTGTACACTACCTGTATCGCACACGTTACGGCAGCTGTTAAGCAGCTTACACAATAACATAATATTTGTACCTGTCACGAGGCGAGAAAAGTTAGCTATTAGCTAATTAGCTGTTTGAGAAAAATATTATATATAAAAATAAAAGAAAGAATTGGAGAGAGAGAGAGCTGGCCCACAGATGGCTCCAACTTCATCCTGTTCCCTGCTTGTATGTTTCATAACAATAAAAATACTTTCAAATGAGCTGATGTATGTAACAGCTCTTAGCTTGTCAATAAAGCTAGGGATCCTTAACCTAACCTTGTCAAACCCTGTGTAAGAGAGAGAGAGAGAGAGAGAGAGAGAGAGAGAGAGAGAGAGAGGAGAGAGAGAGAGAGAGAGAGAGAGAGAGAGAGAGAGAGAGAGAGAGAGAGAAAGGGAGAATGTCACTGGATGAAAACAAAAACACAGCGCAGCCTTGATGAAAACACATAAATGTCAATATTACCCCGACAAATCGTAATTTAAAATTCAGAGTGACATTATCCACGTCATGATTACCTCGGCGAATTAAATATAAGAAAATGTAACATACATGAAGAGGAATTATTACAGAAGATACATGACAAGACATGTGGGGGATACATCACAGATTGTGAATGAAAGAAAATTTACGAATAAATATAGGAGATAAAGGTGGTAAATTATATGAGAAGCTGGTTCAGGCCTCTTGATCCAAGGAAGTGGAGCTACCTCTCCTTTTCCATGGACGTATTTTGATTACCCTTCATCCCTCATGCCTTAGGCTATGAATATATATATATATAATATTATATATATATATATATATATATATATATATATATATATATATATATAATATATATACATATATATATACATATATATACATATATATATATACTATATACATATACATATATATACATATATATACTATCATATATATACATATAATAATATACATATATATACATATATATACATATACATATATATACATATACATATATATACATATACATATATATACATATACATATATATACATATACATATATATACATATACATATATATACATATACATATATATACATATACATATATATACATATACATATATATACATATAATATATATATATACATTATATAATATATATATATAATATATATATATATATATATATATATATATATATATATATATATATATATATATATATATATATATATATATATATATATATATATATTCAACAAGTCGGCCGTCTCCCACCGAGGCAGGATGACCCAAAAAGAAAGAAAAACCCCAAAAGGAAAATACTTTCATCATCATTCAATACTTTCACCTCACTCACATATAATCACTGTTTTTGCAGAGGTGCTCAGAATACAACAGTTTAGAAGCATATACGTATAAAGATACACAACATATCCCTCCAAACTGCCAATATCCCAAACCCCTCCTTTAAAGTGCAGGCATTGTACTTCCCATTTCCAGGACTCAAGTCCGACTATATGAAAATAACCGGTTTCCCTGAATCCCTTCACTAAATATTACCCTGCTCACACTCCAACAGATCGTTGGATGGACTGGTAAGCCGCTGGAAGGCATCGGTCAGATGACCAAAAGCTCCAGTGGCGTCCAGTAGCGTCAGGAAACACTTTTCCTGTTTCCAAGCTATATCTCTTTCTCCCTTTCTCGAGTCTTCTTTTCCTAAGTCTCTCTCTCTCTCTCTCTCTCTCTCTCTCTCTCTCTCTCCTCTCTTCTCTCTCTCTCTCTTCTCTCTCTCTCTCTCTCTGTCTCTCTGTCTCTCTGTCTCTCTGTCTCTCTGTCTCTCTGTCTTCTCTTCTCTCTCTGTCTCTCTCTCTCTCTGTCTCTCTCTCTCTCTCTCTCTCTCTCTCTCTCTCTCTCTCTCTCTCTCTCTCTCTCTCTCTCTCTCTCTCTCTCTCATAATCTTCATGACCGACATCCCATAATGCACCAGTACTCTGTGCTCGGAGCCACTGAGTACCTGCATATTCAAGTTATCAACGTTAAAGGTTTAAAGCCGATCGAATGGAGTATTCACAGGTTATCATATTAAAACCAGCTCTCAAATTTTCCCCAAGTTCGTCAATAAAACCGGCAAACTAGAGGGTGGGCGGGAGACATGATGGTAGTTGAAGACGTGATGGCAGCGACCACTCGACTTGGCTTGGCCGTCTTCCTGCCACTCTGCGAGCTGTCTTGAACAATGGGCGGCATGTGGGCGGGTCCTCTCTCTCTCTGTCTTACACAATAGCATCAACAAAGGTGGGTGGCAGGGCCAGCCTCACTGGCAGGAGGGTGGCACTGATGTGGGGAAGTGAAGGGAAGGGGGTGGCAATGGTGATGGTGGTTTCGGTGTGCGTGTGTACAAGGCCGGGGACACATGGGTATGCGAGTATATGGGCATGAATGAATGGGTATAAGTAGGTAGGCGTATAAAGTGCCTGGTCGTGACTGTGAACGTGTGGATATGTGCATATGGGCTTCAGGACGAGTGTATAGATGCGTGAATTTCATGTGTATGTATATAGACGGATGATATTACCTGGAGTATACCTAGAGTATACCTGGAGAGGGTTCCGGGGGTTAGCGCCCCCGTGGCCGAGTCTGTGACCAGGCCTTATGGTGGTTCAGGGCCTGATCAACCAGGCTGTTACTGTTGCCCGCACGTAAACCGACGTACGAACCACAGCCTGGCTAATCGTGTACTGCAAAAATACTGCTAAAATGCTACCCACATCAAAATCTCTGGCACATCTTGCTACTTACACATCCCAAGTAGTGAGACTCTCTAATCGCGGGTTCTATCTCCGCCCGTGGTATAGTTTGTGCTTGTACCGTCTCACCTGGAACTGCAACAAGCAGCCAAAATTACGGAGTTTTGGAAGAAAACAAGCACGCAATCTCAGCAGATTGAGAATCTACACAGATGGCATCATTAGAACTAATTAGAAGCAACGGGATCAAAGCAGACGACTTTAGTAACCAGGGACAACCACACCACAGAAATGAAGCTCATTTGTATTGCGTATGAAATTAACGATAACCGAAACAAGCGACAATCATACTATTACTGACGCAAACGATGAACTGTAACAACACGATAGCCAACAAGCCACGGAGTTTTAAAACTCAATTGCCATGGGTTTAATCCCCACCCGTTCCGTGGTTTAATAGTCAAACTGAAAATAAAACTAGCAATGGAACAAGCAACAATCGAAATAGTCAAGAAACAATAAAACTATGAAGCGCTAGAGCTATTTATGATAGTAAAACTATCAGAGAAACAAAAGATAAACTATCAGTGACGAATAAACTTTAAATTACACAGTAGACAATAGCATAATTTATTAATGATACAAAAATCACGACTTGAGACATTCGAAATACATACAAAAAAGGCACAGAAGTGAACAAAAAATATATTCAATTCAAAATTTGGATCGTAGACTATTTCTTTGTAGAATGTGATGAAGCAAAGTTCACGTAGCGACAAGTGAGGAAATAGAGCGAACACTGCTAGCTAGGAAAGGTCACTGCTAACTAGAAAAGTCCACTGCTGATTAG